TGACTTGACGACGCATCCCCGTACCCCCTTTTTAACATTGGCAACTGTTCTGTCTGAGGCGGTGCAAGATTTCCGTCATTGGAACAAATTTGTTTTAGGAGGTTTTCAATGCCAATGTTAAGAAGGGGGTACGGGGCTGTAAAGAATCTACGTTGTAAAAGCGGTGCAAGATTTCCTCCATCCGCAGTATGGTCTCAGCCTTGTCCCAGGGTCAACAAAAGCTGCTAGTTGATGCAATGAGAGGTGAAGAGTCCTGTCAAGGTCTGCGACATGACTGTGTCTCAAGATTTGAGAGTGCAGCTTTGACAGCTTGTAGGACTGAGAATGCTTCTCCTGCCGCCTTTGCTGGCGAGCACATTCTTGATACTGCCTGCTGTAGCTAAGAAATAGCCTATCTGTTACACATCCTAATGCGACCTTAACTAGGCTATACTCCCAATGTTGGAAGTTTGTCAGGGCGTAATCTGTCTCGCTGTCCTTCATGAACTCACGTTGCCAATGCACAATTCTCTGCATGAGGCTTACTTGACCTACGAGAACTGAGGGATATGAGAGCTCAATACAATGTGCACCGGGGATATCCGGCCGGAGAGCAGGTCTGCCCCCCATGACTTCCCTCTAACTGAGTTGTCCGTCCATGCCACGGAACCATGCACTGTTGACAGCATGCTCGGAGTAATCAGGTTCATCCCCAACATAGGGAATACCGAAACCTTTCAAGGCAGGGTTCAAGGGCGTGGCGTCAGACGACATCTCGCCGGTGAGCAAGTCATCGTCACTAACTGACTGCAAATGCTTGAGTGACAGACAGTGGCTGCGGAAACGCAGGCACAATTTTACAAAAGAGACTGAAAATTCTCCGGGAAAAGAAAAGCTACCTACACGGAAGTGTAGCCTGCTTACTATTCACAGACTTCCTAACATGAGGCATATTTCCTTGCGTATTTCAGGAAGAAGATTCAGCTCCTTAGTCAACCAAGCAAGTGCGAAGGCTTTGTGTTCCATCAGGGACCTAAAGGCAGGATGAGAATCAATCTCCTTGATATCACCACTCATTACAGAATCTATCAAGGTCAGTGAGACAATCTGCCTTACAGCGTTCTATGCGAACATGGGATAGATCTGCAATAGCACCTGAGCAAGCCTCCTTCCTAAGCATTTGAATCATGTGAATTGTCTCTTGCGGCCCTGGAACATGAGTAGTAGAGGCCGTATTAACAAGATTATTGGCATCTGTGCGCATGTGAATGCTAGCATCAGCGCCAGAAATATCCCTTTACAAACCTCTCAACATTTGACACGTACCAAAACATTTCATCAAAGCGTACAACTCAGTAACAGTGGTACTCAAGGTAGTCCGCTTGATTTTGGTTGATTCGAAGAAAACAAGCGAGCCACGAGTATCACGACTTTCTTTTGACGTTGTTCCGCGAGGAAAACAGTCATTCCACGTTGCGAGGACTTGTCAGAATTGTTTCGGAACGCGGCATCAGGACTTCCCAGGATTCGTGGATCGGTTTTCAACGGCCAAAAACGAAGCTCAGAAGGTTCATTCTTGATCTGACGACACAGCTTATTTAGTGCCCGGCAGTCTCCTATTGTGGGTGAGGCAGAAGCTGAAGCACAACGGGAGAATTGATAACAGGCTTGGAACTGGGTTCTAGACTGCAACCAGTTAATACTGCCTAACAGGGATCTAAAAGCTGTGTGCGTCTCCTTACTACACCCTTCCGAGTCGGAAGACCCGCGTGGGATAGAGATCTCTTCTAACTCTTCAACATTTAGCCTTTGGGTGACACCTATATACTTCTTCTTTTTGGTCTTGTCGTCAAATACCCAAGCAACTCTCTGTCCTGTGAACATGATATCGTTGACATCCTCATGACCGATAGAGAAATGCTTGCGCACTGTTTTGACAAACCAATCTAGAAAACTCTTGTCACCAGTAATCATGAGATCATCAACGTGTAAGGACGAAACACCAATAGGCTTCCTACCTCTACTGGGACTGCCATGAACAGGATCAACAAAGTGTTCCAACAGTTCATCAACTACTTCAGGAGTAAGTTGGGGCTTGTCCAAAGTAGCTTGATAGGAAGACTTCTCAGGCAAATAAAGGGAAACAAGAATCTCAACTTCTTCTTCTAGAAAATCTTGCTTACCTCCATTTCTGAGAGCAGTGCTCTGTTCTATGACCCACCAGGTACCTTGTCGGAAGATGCAGGAAACTCTAAAGGGGTAGTCCTTAGTCTTATAGGTCGGTTCAGGGGTCCTAAGAGCCTTAGCCTTATGGGTAACCTGAGCCTGACCATTGAGAAAAGGAAACCATCCCTTCTTGTGAACTGCGGTAGAATTTAGGAACTTTAGGAGGGCCTCATCTACAACAGGTCTCCATGCATACTCTCTAACCTTACGAGTAGTAAGCGCATGTGCAATGTCGGGATAATCTTCAACGGATCTTTCCTCCGTATGGCCGGAGGTAACTGACGGATCCTTCACTATGCAGGACTTAAGGAAGTGACAAAAGTCAGCTTCCTCTTCGGTGGAAGAGCCTGCCGCAATTTCAGCCGTCATGTCGGCGGAGTTGGGCTGGTCTTCGGCCTTAGGTTCTCGCCAGGCTCCTTCACAGCAGACATAGGTGCACCTATCTGCCCTAGTAGGGACCAAGCCACAGGCTCTAACGAATTTGTCAAGGCGGTTCCACCACCTTCTGGGTGCATCATTAAGGCCATAGACAGGTCTCACACAGTATCCTACAAGGTAAGGAGGCAAACCTAAGTCATTAGGAAGTTGAATAGTGACAGCCCGGCGCGACAAATTGTAGTGTTCCCCCTGAAGGAACGCAGTCTTAAGGTCCAAGTGCAACAAATCCCACAAAGAACTGGCAGCCTGCTGACAGACGAGACGGAAACCATACCGCGTGGCAGTGATTCGTGCCATGGTGCGACAACGGAACGTCCGGATCGGAATACTGCGGTACGGCGCCAGCGGAAGGCCCTGATGGCCCTGGAGGCATATCTTCGTATCTACGTCAAATGGGGTAGGAGCCCCCAGGTTCATTGAGATCCGGATCGCTAAGATCTCCCCCTGAGACTGGAGGATTACTGGAATGAAGGATCTTCCGAACCTATGAGTCCAGGATCGTTAGGTACACGCCTTAGAAGCTTACCAGTGGTTTCTCCTGAAAAGACAATAACAGACCACTTGGTGAGATCCAACTTCTCATGGAAGGCCCTAAGCTGATTGACCAACACAAAGAAAACCTTCTCAAAATCACCAGGCTCCCACATAAGAACTACAGAAGCAGGGTGTTTCTGTAATACACGACTAACCTTTCCTAAAGTGCCCCTATACACACTACAGTGCTCAAAAGACAAATGAGGAAGGGTCATAGCCCTGACATTCTGCGTTCAGGGACGAAGTTCCCTGGCAATATCAACTGTGGAGGAGTTAATCTCAACTTCTACACCAAGGCGCATAGAATCAACCTTCTTCAAGGATTGAATCAACGAGCTAGTAACAAAACGCTGTGGCAACACATATTGATGACAAACAGGAAGCTTATCAGAGAAATGCTTCATCTTGCTGATAAGCGAATCATGAGGGAAGATTGTATCACCCATGGCCCAAGCTACTTCTGTCATGACGGAGGCTCAATGAGCACAGAAGGCCATCATCCATATCTTCAAACAAATCCTCAAACCAAAAGATTTGTCTAGCGTTACAGGATGGTTCCCCCTGCAAACGTGAAGCCAACAAGGTAACAAACTTGGAATCATAAGATTTTCCCTCAGAAAGAATTGGCAAATTATCAACAAGACGCTTCATCCACCCTGAAGGTAAATTTGTGGCTATGTAGGCAGAGCCGTCAACAGACTGGTTACCTACACAATACATATTGCTCATCCAGCGTAGTATCCTAGAGGAACGCGATGACCAGAATTGAGAGGTATTAGGAGCAATTACCAAACAGTGCTTCCCCCTTTGGGTCTGCCATCTGGAAACGTCAGTGCAAAAACTCCAAAGTTCCTTACACATGGAAACGTCCTTAGGAGTAATGGCATGCAGGACAACAAGGGATGAATCATATCTGACCAGGTTTTTCCAAGCTGCAGCTATAGATTGTTGAAGACACTTCTTGGAAGTAAATTGCAAGTCCACTGCAGGAGCTACTGACCTTCCTTGATGACTTAAGTAGGATCCTATGCCGCTGCATGTATGTAGGACTTCTACATAAGTGATAACACACTTCATGTTCTGAGACAAAAGATGCATTGGCATTGTCTACCTCATCGCTGGATGAGCCTGACTTATTTTCTGAAGAAGGCCCGTCCAAATGAGGAATTTGAACGTCATGCCATTCATCATGATCCCTTCTGACCTTAGATTGATTCACCCTAAGAAGCACGGTGGGTAACTGAACCAAAACCATAGCACCTTCTTGGGAAACTACAGTACCTCTCATCCATACACCTTCATTCTTCTTCTTATTATCGTCCTTATGCCAAACAAAAACCTTCTCCCCCTTAAGGACCATCTGAAGGCATAACCCTCTTAGCTAAATCCTTTTTCAGGTCTGCGGACTGTCGCGCTTCCAGATGAGCCTTCATGGCTATCGTCCTCAGCTGCGTAGCGGTCCTGTCCTCAAGAAGTCCTTCTAAGGAGAGTTGCTCAGGATTAGAGGTCTCGACATCTAAGAGGTCTGGAGGTCTTCTACCTGTAGCTACTTCAAGAGGAGAGTAGCCGGACACCGTAAGCTGGCAATTACGAACGAAAACGATTCGTGTCACGGCTTGGCGAAGTGTGATCTTTTGAAACATACCTTCTTCACCAAGAGACTTTACAAACAACACCCACGTCTTTTTGAACAAACGAACAGCGGTTTCGGCACGGTTAGGCCAAGGCGTCCTTGGCCCGCACGGATACTGAGCAATGTTATGGTATTTGTAGAACTTCTCAAAGTCCGGCGTGAAAAACGCAGTGTCGCCCACAACTCTTTTCGGAACACAGTTGTTTTCCTCGATCCACAGACGAAGAGCAGAAATCGTTTCCTCCGGCAACAAGGTTTTCTGAGCCGTAGCCTGCAGGAGATTTGTAGCGCCATCAAGAACCAAAAGAACGACGTATTTCGCGGTACGAAACTGAATTTCCTGATGGTCCACAAAAATGACGTCACCAAATTCTGGCGCGCGCATTCCTGAGATTCTGGCTCGCGGCGGACTTGGAACCGAAGTACCACACACCTTACAACCCTTGACTACCTTGTCATACTTCTCATAGACAGACTTAGGCAAACCTAGCATGCTAGTCCTTCTACGAAACTGTGCAGGCGACATGTGGTAATGCTTCACATGTAGCTTATACAACTCTACATCATTTTCGAGGCTCTTAAGCATACGCTGGAAACTAGGTGAGGCAGCACTAAGCTCTTGACCAGGCAAAGGAAGCTCTACCCGCCTAGGTTCTAGGGACGTGTCTTCCTTAGCTACTGGGTTGTCCTCACGCTTCTTTTGCTCTTGACGCTGTGAGGGTCCAGGTTCCTCGTCGTTGGACGAGCCGCCGGGTGAAGGCTTTTTGCTAGGTACCTCATCGTTGGATGAGCCTCCTGAAGGTGGCTTGCGACTGGAAGACGAGGGTTCACGGACAGAGTCTGGGACGTAGATTTCTTCGTCTATATCCCCGCGGCGATTGCCTACTGAGATCGATGCCCGGACGTTGGTCCGGCGTTCGAAACCTCCAGGCTTAACTTTGAAAATGGTTGTGCACTTCCAAGGTTTCTCCTGTCTCACGATCTTAGGAGCATCCTTGCCACGCCAAAGGTCCACCTTCTGCTGGGAAGTTCCGTCCTCATATTCGAATTTCGTGGCAAGAGTATCCTCAAGATACTCCAGAGGAATGGGCGTATTATTCTTTTCTGGCTTATATGATTGGGACCTAAGTTTCCTATGGACCCTAATCATTTCTCTATTGGGCTCATTCAATACCTATTTTTCCTCTGTAACAAGTGCTTCTTCAGAAGGCTGAGGGTTGGCAGGAGTCTCATCTTGCTGGTGAGCAAGTCCAGACTCTTGTGCAGGTTCTTCTTGTGCATGATTGCTGTAATCATAATGAACATGCTGAGTAAAGAAGCTGACACGCTGAACTTGGAACTCAACATTGTACATGTACTCTGCCATGACCTCAAGGTCCAACACAAGGTGAGAACTGCTGGAAGTATCCAGCGGCAAGTGGTAGATGCCCAACGGATCACAGGTGAGAGAAGCATTACCTGGTGTGAGATTTAGAGAAAACCTCAAATTGCGCATCTGTGGAAGCGACGTAAGGAATGGCACCTGACCTTCTTCTACAATGTCGAACTCAGTACAATGAGTTGAACCATAGTAGTCACTCATATAGACCACTAACTTCTCTGTGCACTTGGAAGTTTGGCTGTTGGCAGAGGAGAACTGAGAGGTGGTAGGCTTGATTTCATACCACAAGTAGGTGTTGTGGCCTTGCCTGTCGATGTGCTGGCAGAAATGGTTCACTGCTGTTCTGGAACCCATAGCCTTAGTACACCCTAAATCTAGGACAACCTTAGTAGGGGACATATCGACTACTTGCAAGGCTGACGGAGAGGCCATCATGGCTTCACCAGGCTCTTCAGGCTCATCTTCGTCTTCACGATCATCACCATCATCATCTGAAAAGAAGTCACGTGAATGAGGCTCAAAGTCCTCTAGACCTGAAGGCGGTGTATCACCCGGAGCACGAGATCGTGGCAGGAACATTTCGTCTGGATCGGGTTCCCTCCAGTGCCTTATGCCATCATCAAAGTCACCTACACCTACTCCATCATCCTCTGCAGCATGTATGGCCTCCTGCTGCACGCGCCATTCATGCCATCCATCAGGAGCGTCGTCATCTTCTTCAGAAGGATGGGTGCCAGGTGGGTGCACCTGCTTCCCTTTTCCTTTATCATTGCGAAATTCAAGAGTGTAGGCAGGCTTTCCTTTGACAACGGGGCCACCCTTACCCTTGCCTATCATATACCTATGAGAGTGCGCAACATCATTTGGAAGTTCAAACGATTGCTGCGGAAGAGTCAACGCATTATCATCAGGTACAACCTCTTCATCTTCTGCTGACTGACCATGTGGACCAAAATGATGCTCATACCAGGAGGAGTAAGATAGTTCACACCCTTGCCCTTACCTTTGGACATGGAAAAGGGCAAAACGGATGCCGCAGGATTAACGCTGCCGGAGCTGGAACTTGCTGGTTCCCCGCCGGTGAGTGGGCCTCCAAGCAACGCAGGGGGTTCTTGGGATTCTTGGGAACCTATTGGAGTGAAAGCCATAAGGTAACCACGACCATTTAGAACCCTATGTTGATGCCTAGACATCCTCTGGCGCAACTCTCGTGAGGTATGTGAACAATACGCATCACAATCATATCGAAGCGCTGCTGGAGAAATTCTCATGTTGGGACACATAGCGTCCGAAGTCAGAGTGTTGTCCGGACTTGTCCATTCTACCGCAGCGTCAGAGCCAGAATCCGAAGTGTCTGGTGTTGGCGGTCCTACCTTTGGCGAAGTTCCTCCATCAGAGCGTAGTAAAGCCAAGTCGGTGTGAGCCAGTCGTCGAGCAGTACGTTATAATCCTCCTCGCTGAGAGAGTACACGAGAGTGGCCTCCTGAATGACGTGATGGAGATCACGGCGCCAAACAATCAACCTTATGCCTTATGTTATTATGGCCGAACCTCCGCACCTCAAATTTAAACCTATGACGGAAAATATTCCAGGGAACCCTTACCTCATGTAAAGCTTCAGGGTAACCATTAGGGTCTGAAACAGGTCCATGGGCTCCTGGAATAGTTCCCGCATTCCTAGGATAAACCGTCAGGGTTTGGGTGTACCTTTCCCGAGTCGGAAGGTCGTGTGGAAGAGGAGGCCAAGGATCAAAGTCGTCACTGTCTGGATCGTCCTCGGCAAGGGCTACGGATTCCTCCTCAGCACCAGACGATGCAACAGCTGCAGGTTCCTCTTCAGCAGCGGCGGCAGGCTCCTCTTCAGAACCAGAAGAGGAAAAGGCAACAAGTCTACCGTCGGAACTGCGGTAGACAGCACGTGTCTGACCACGTTTGTTAGGAGCATACATTGGGATACCAGGCTGGGGAGCCCGCATTCCCTGTTTCGGGCTGCCCATACTCCTGGCTTTATGCCTTGCCTTTTATCTTCCCTTTTGACCTGTGCCACATACGGCCGTTACCCCAGCCAGCATCATAATAGTATGGGAGCACATAGTAAAACCCATACTTTCCTAGATCATAGCCAAACCCATCAATCCACATTCGGGTTCGAGGTGTGAGGCTAATCTCCCAAGGAGTAGCGGTGTGATGCAAGGCAATGATTCCAAGAGATGGATCTTGAGGTGGAAGAAAGATCCTCTGAAGCACGATTGGGGATAGGCCGAGGTTGCGATAAGGCTGGCTGTCAGGAGGAGGACTACCGATGTTGTCATCATCAATTTCGCTGTTCGCGTCGAAATCTTCATCAAAGCAGGTTGGGTAAACGAACCCAATGCTGGAGGAGTGGTATTGCCAATAGGCATCAGGAATGGGTGGCCATGGAAAACTCGAAGACCCTCTGGAGAGTATGAGGATCTACGCGGCGCATAACAGGCTGCCACCCTTCCTAAAGGCTTAGACCCAAGTTTGTCATACATAAACTTAGGGAAGTAATGCTCCTTGCCTTCAGGAGGAAGGAGCAGGCCAGCGTTTGGATGAACGGCTTGATAAATTATCCAGAGATAAGCTTCCTCACGCTCTTCAAGAGGCAGGCGCTTGAGCATCTTGTAATAGTTTAGAAGAGGAAGAGTCTGTGTGTGGAAAGAAAGTTTTGTTGTTCTCTCCAAAGCATACTTCTGGGTATCAATTCACCAACAAAACGGCCCATGCCCCATGGCCAACCTATGAAGCGGGGGTCCCTCCAAATGACAGAAGCAAAATCGATCAACGCGTTTCTTGGCAGAATCCCTGTCATAAGGAAGTGGAGCTTCTCAGTGGGGTTCAAGGGTAGTGTCCTAGTTACTGGACCCCAGTGTCCTTGGTTTTCTTCGAAATAACCGCAAACTACCCACTGCAAGAAGGCAGAATTGGCACCACTCCCTTCACCTGGAAGCATCGTAAAACAAGGTCCATGGAGTGTCCGTATAAACGCCAATTCAAACACAATGCGGTTGACAAGGGATTCGGGTCTACGATGGACTTCTGGAAACTCATGTATGGGGGTTCATATTCTTGAAGAATACACCAAACCCTACCAGAGATACAGTGAAGGTTATGCCATTCATGAGCCAGAAGCCATTCATGGTAGATCAAGATCCTAGGTTCAGACATTGACTCTTCACTGAGGAAGTGGGTGACATTAAGGTTTTGACCTGAAGCAGCAGGAGTCATGTCTTGAACAGGCGGCATGGAATTGCTGGCATAAAAGTAGGAACCATACTCTGAGTCATCACTATCTAGGTCTTCAACATAAACATAAACATCAAAAGTATCGACCTCAGAGCCGCCTTTGGGTGTGCAAAGAGCCCCAAGGAGTTTCTTGTTCCTCATCGTTGGATGAGCCTCATTCTCCAGGGTCTCCATCAGCATCAACATCCATGGGCTGTGCAGCATCATCAAGCTCATTGTGATCAGCGTCAGCATTGGGCTCAACATCTGGTACCCCAGCGTTGGCCGGGCCTCAGTCAGCTGGTTCCCCAGCGGTGACTGGGCCTCCAAAGGTTGCGCCTGTCACTTCGGGTTCCCCGACGGCGGTCGGGCTTCCCACATGATGCATAGCAAAGAAAGAAGAGGGTAACGAAGGGTTATCTACCGCAGCTTGAGCCTCAGGTTGTGAAGAGACTACATGAGAACTGCCCTTCTTGTCTTTACCATCTTTACCCTNNTTTACCTTTAGACTTGTAACTGTCTACATGTTCATGTGCTGATTCCTGATCCCATGATTGCCATGAATCTGCTGCGTCGGGCTGGCTAGACCAGCCATCTTGCCACCACCAGGCCTCTTCAGTCTGCCACGACCAGTCATCAGACTGACTGTGGTCTTCCTGGTAGTGGCCCTTCTTCTTCCGGCGAGATTTAAAGAATCTCCGACCGCCACGGCCTCTGCCGCGGCTCTTTCCACCGCGTCCTTTTCCTTTGCCTTTCCTTGATCTTCGGCCTTGGAAACGACGCTGGAACCATGAATCATTTTGTTCATCATAGATATAGAAAATGTCTTCGTGAGCATCCAAAAAGCCTTCTGCTCCATCGTCTTCGTCTTCGGCCCAAAATCCGAAGGAGCCATCAAGCTCTCCTTCATCTATCACAATGAAGCTCCTTCGGCCACCGTGGCCGGTATTGTTCAGGAGCGGATTATCCACAGCTGTTCTTGGATTGCAAAACATCTCGATAAAAATGTCTCGCAGAGTGCCGGCATCCAATCCGACCAGATCTATTCCACGATGTGCCATTATGCTGGTAAGCGACATCCTTTGATCGAAGCTCAATTCCGCATGCGATACAAAAAGGAGTCCAATAAGATTCTTGGTCAGCGGCACCTTTTCCATGTGGGCCTGTCTTCTCCTTTCATTGACGGCTGTTAAGATATGGGCGGCAGTCATTGACTGTCGCACCTCTGCAGATAAAGACTGTGTATATTGTCGAACTTCATCATGAGCTGGATCACTGATGGGTGTCAAAGTATCACCCCATGCTTCTTCCAGACGTTTCAGCTGAATCTGAAATCTTGACATCCATTTCATAAGATCAGATGAACCACGGCGCAAATTCATGAACTGTTGGAAACAGTATAGGAAGACATTCACACTGCCTTTCACAAAGAATGGCCTCAGCGTTCTCTTGAAGTATGTCACGAATTCTTCCTTGTTCTTCAAGGCATCCCTATCCAGGATTTTCTTGTAAATGGCGGCATCACCTTCAAGTCTATTGCGCAATGCCG